CAAGGATGCTCATATCAAATTTTAAGCTTTGCAACACAAGTTTGCTCAATAAATGACTCAGATGACTAAAAATCAATTATGTTGGGTAAAAAGTCAACCATGGTCAACATATAGTCAAGCCTCAATATTTTTGGTCAACATCAACATTTTGAAGTCACATTCATCATTTGATAAGGGTCTGATCATTATTCCTCAAGAAAATCCCTAAAACCATCAAAGGTCAAAAGTTGCCAAATTAGGGTCCTTAGGAGAAGTCAACTAAACTTTGACCAAGCATAACTTTCACATGCTTCATCAGCTTTTCCCCAACCAAAGCTCATTTTTAAGGGAATTCAATTATCTAAAACTTTTTCTCTCTAAGCTCAAGCCCAAAAAATGCATCATTTGAGAGATATAAGCCAATACATCATAGGTCATTTCAAAAGTCAACAAAAAGACACTTTTTGTCAAGATAACTTACATCAAGATAAAGTCCCCAAAGTCAAATATTATCAACATAGAGGTTGTAGAGGACATCTTGAGCTTTCCAAAAAGTCATAGATCACCTTCAAAAGATAAAAGTTGAGTAATTTATGACCAGTGCAAGTTTGGAAATTTTGAGAAAATGCATGAAGAGCAAATTAAGAAAACTTGAACTTTTGGGCTTTTGGGCTTAAGTTTTCAGGTCCAAACGTGTTCATGACATGTTTAAAGACACCTAATTCCATTCCCATATTTTTTATGATATTTATTTCTTTTATTTGGATTTTATTCATCTAAATGCAAATTAAATCAAATAAAATATGAAACCATTGAATTTAGGCGCATGGACCTTTATTATGATCTGATTGGAGGCCCAAGGATGTGTCTTGAAGACAAAGAAAACGTGAATGGTTTATTGGCACAAGATTGAGAAAATATAGAAACTTTTCATACAAATTGTCAATCAAGTCTTTTCACCATGAATGACAAAGATATGATCCTATTTTCTTGACCTAAATCATTGTCCTATAAATACACATTTCATTTAGAGCAAAAACACACGTGCAAGCTTCCTCAAAAACCCCTAGCAAATTCTCAAAATTTTCAAAGAATTAGGGCAAAGTCAAACTCTCATCTCCCACCCTTTTCATGAAATTAAAACGATCCAATCATCTCCTTGAAGGTTCCAGGAGATTATCCATGCCCTCTTTGAAGCCAAAAGCACACAAGAAGGCCGCTTTCCATCCTCATCAGTTTGGTATGATTTTTCAAGTTCAACACTTATGATTTATGCATTGATAATTAACTTGGTATGTTTGAATGTGTTTATATCCATCATTAGAACAGATTGGACGCATAACATGTGAGATCTAATTCTAGAATGACAAAGTGTCATTGTTAGGGCACCGAGCTCGTGAATTCTTGAAACCTTAGTTACAATATATAATCTTCAAAACATGAAAATATGAAAAAACAAATCCAAAATGCCAAAAGGTAGGGATCAAACTCGTGCCCCGGCATAGTAAGATCTTAACGCGCGCTTCTAACACTAGGGTGGATATACATTTGTTTATATTATTGAAACGAAATAATTATATTATAAACCTTATTTTATGGACTGGAGAGGCGTCTGAGCCCTAGCTCCGATCATCTTCTCCGGTGATTCTTTTTCTTGTTCCTGCAAAATAGACATGGTTAGTGATCCAAGGGTACATTACCCCCTATAAATCAACCCTGCGAGTTTAATGGAACCATTGTTTTTGACTAATTCGTGTTGGTTTGCTCAGTCATATGAGAAATTTCGCAGGAGCATTCTTAGAGACATATGAGAAACCATGAAATCAATTTGAGGCCTTAGTAACCCAATCTTCCTTCAGAAAAGTGAAACCATAGTTGTAAGTTAATTGCTTAAGAGGAGAATTTGTATGATCAATTCTTAAGCAACCTTTAGCAAATGAAAACCCTTGAAGCATGAGAAGATATCTTGAAGAAAAATGAGAGGGAAAATTTTGGGGTACAACGGTTGCCCCTGTTCAATCTTCTTAAACCTGAGGAGTTAGATTAGCATGTCTGGCATTCATAATCTGAAGGTAGAAGAGTATTGTTAATCTAACTTCAGTTTAATCTACTTTCAAGCCTTGCATCACAAGATTAATCCTCTTCTACCTTCAGATTATGAACGGTTGGCATGTTAATCTAACTCCTCGGGTTTAAGAAGATTGAACAGGGGCAGCTGTTGTACCCCAAAATTTTCCATCTCATTTTTCTTCAATATATCTTCTCGTGCTTCAAGGGTTTTCATTTGCTCATGGTTGCTTAAGAATTGATCACAAATTCTCCTCTTAAATAATGGACTTACAACTAGGGTTTCACTTTTCTCAAGGAAGATTGGGTTACTAAGGCCCTCAAATGGATTTCATGGTTTCTCATATGTCGCTAAGAGTACTCATGCCAAATTTCAAGCCTTGCATCACAAGTTTGCTCAATCAATTGCTTGAATGGGCTTAAAAGGTTCCATTCGGAGAGATGACGAAGTGTCGTTAGAAATGGGCTTATAGATGCCATCCAAAGTAATTGTTGGTTAGAGTATCAGATTGAGTCCATGTTTGAGTGTATCTGAAGAACACTTTTCAAGACGACTCTTTGGGGAAAGTTCTTAAGTAGCTGCTGGTCAGATTTATCCTCTGAGGGAAATTCTTGTCAGATTTAGTCTCTGAGATAAATGCTCTTCATGTAGATAGTCACCCCATCCTGCTCCAAGAATTGATCTACAGTCTGTTTTTGTTGGTAAACCCGTCCTGTTTCGGGAATTTATACAACTTAGTCATGTTGATAGTTTCTTCGTCCTGTTTTGGGAGTTAATTTTTGCCTGGTTATATAAATAGTTTCCTCGTCCTGCTTTAGGAGTTAATCTGGGTTTGGTCATGCAGATAGTTGCCCCGTCTTATTTCAATAATTAATCCAGGACCTGCTTTTTATCTACCGTATAGATAGTTGCCCTGTCTTGTTTTGGGAATTAATATTTGACCTATTTAAAAATTGTTTATGATATTCGTCTATTTGTAGACTTTACCTGAAAAGACAGAGTTAGTCTTTATGCAATGTCATGGTGTATCCTCAACACACAAAACCACCAGAAGTTTTCCATCGGATATATATATATATATATATATATATATATATATATATATATATATATATATATATATATATATATATATATATATATATATATATAGCGGAATACAACCCAGAATAACTCCTTAACCACCTTCAGGAAAAAATAGTAACCTTTACACAACACCATCCTTCAAGTGCAACAAGTTATCCTGGATTTGAAAATAAATCAAACCCTTAACACAGTAGCTTGCCACCAAAGCTACATGCCTGAAAACAACAGACATATTCAATGTACACCCCATCACGAACAATCCATCCTCCACTTCTAGGGACCGTTCAAAGAAGAATATTAGCTCTAAGTTCATACAACTTTTCAGTAAAACCAATCTACCTTGCACATAACCAAAAAGTATCCCCCTCGGATATCATCCAGAAACAGACAAGAAACCAGGCTCTGATACCAATTGAAGTTCTAGTATGTCAGAACTCAGATGTCCTATGACATGTTGGGACATCTGATCCAACATAAACAAATATGCAATGTATTAACAATAAAAACAATACTGAAAAAGCATAAACAACACACAAAATTTTTAACCCAATTCGGAACAACCTTCCTACTCTGGGGGCATACCAAACAAGGGAAATATCCACTAAAATAGTATCAATTCATAGACCATACAATAAACCTCCAATTTATGGTGTAATCATTTAATCACTACCATTGCTAGATTTCTATATAAGACTCACCTAGATATGAGGCCCTCCTCAATCCCTCTTCAATCACAGACAGCGATTGGATCAACAATAATTATGAACAAATAGGAAGACACACTTTCGTGACAATCACTAGCCAAGACTCTTGACTAAGACCACAACTTGGAGCTACTTCAAAGCTTCCTCCAAGAATAATACTCCACTCATCACTTCACATTTTCTGATTGAGAACAATAGTGATCATCTCACAACCCAAGTGGTTCACTTACACCAACTCTCCTAGAGAGCGACAAAAAGACAAAGCCCTAGACTTCTACATCTTGAACCCGTGCCTTTACTAGGTTACAATCACTTATATTTATAACATATAATACTACAAGAAACTTGCATTTTAGCGTCAGCCAAAACCATCGTTAACAAGTAAACAACTGATGCTAAATGCCTTTAGTGCCGGCTTGGCGTCTGGGTTGGGACGTACACGCTAAAGGTGGAAGAAAACCATAACGGCCAGCCTTCACTACATGTAACGTCGACTACGGCAATGCTAACGGGATGCTATCTTATCAAAATAAATGCTAGATTGTAGAATTGTTTTCATTTAGCGTTGGTTGTTGTTGATGCGAACATTTATTTAGTGGCGGTTTAGAAGGCCACTATAATTTTTTTCTAAAGTAGCATCGGTTTAGTGGGTCACTTAAATATCATCTTCGATGTATTAGCGTCGGTTCCGTGGGACACTATTTCTAAGGTCCAACGTAGGTCATAAACAACGCTACATAGCTAAAGTTGTGCAATGCAGCATAGCTCAAAGTCGACGCTAACGGTCTATTATGCTGTTTAGAAGCGTCGGTTTTAGTCGAAGCTATTATTTATTTATTCTGCAGTTCTGTTTTATATTATATATACCTATTTAAATCCAAATTAATTCTATTTGAAATTTAAACCTGTTTTTGTAATTCAAACTATTCACTAAAATATTATCACAAAAACCTCAACACAAGATAACAAACTTGCATAAATCTATGATATTGCTACATTAATTAACATGTCATTACATCATAATATTGACACAATATATCAAACTAGTTCTCATCCACAATGTTGTTACATAAATATGTCAAAGTTACATCAAAATACCAACACAAAATATCAAACTAGTGAAAATCCACAAAACAAGTTCTAAAACTAAGAAAAATACAATGTCAACATCCATCACTCATTCCCTCTAGATCCAATGACTGACCATTAGAGTCATCATCATGATGATCACTAGAACTAGGATGGACACTAGAAGGAACAATGGAAGTACCCGCCTGACCCGACTGCCAAGCAAAAAATTGTTTCTGAAATTCTTCAAATTTCCTTTTTAATTCTGCTTTCTCAACCATAGCTTATCTTGCATTCGCATTCACTTCGTATGCATGCGCATTAGCTAATGCATCCTCTTCGTGTGCTCTAGAAGCCTCTGCTCTAGCCATCTAAATGGCTTGGCTCTCCGCTTCTCTATTCGAGTTTGAAATGGTCACTTGTGTCAAGTAAGACACTCCATATTGTATGTTGACTGCCATTCAGGCAGTTCCATAACATCGGCCTCGTGACTTACCGCCGACAGCTTCTTTCCATAATTGTAGCTTTTCCGACCGATCCATATTATTGTTATTTTGGGTGTCTTGTGTTAGACGATTCACATAACCATCATGTACAACGCAATATAATAATTAGGACATTCTAATAAGCTTCCTGAAACAATAAGATATACGATAATTGTAGCAGGAAATTAGCATGTGTTAGTTTAATTTGCCATCAACTACTATTGTTAAATGCTGGAGTGATGCAGGTTTTTTCCTTGATGGGTATGTCAATTTAATTTAATTTACTCTATCGTTCAGTCATTACAGCAAAACTGAATTTTAAATTGCACCATGTTTATGCAGAAGAGATGTCAGTTTGAATCACACTATGAGGTACTTCGTCAAAAGTTTAGTTACATTGGAGCTAATTTTCAATATGTTATTACCTAATATTGAATTTTCCAGATAATGGTTTTTTTATGCAGTTTGTTCCTAACTTTCTACGTTGCATATTCAATTATTGCAGGGTGACCAAGTCGACATGCTTGCAGCTTTGAAACCAGGTTTCACGTTTTTTAGTATTTGTAAATAGGACTGACTTTTTTTAATCCTATGAACTTTGCTCAGGTTTTAGGCTCAACATGCTTGCAACTTTGAAACCGTACTACTTTTATTCGAACAGAGGGGTAATGTTCATAAATTCATGTTTTGCTCATTGCCAAAGTAAATGAATAGGAATAGAAAAAAAAATAAAACAAATGTATATTAATAAATGACAATAATATTCTTAATAGAAATTAGATATTATGAAAAGAAAAAATATAAATTTCATTATAATCAATTTTAGAAAGAAAAAAACTATTTTGTAATAGAAAAATGCATACTATGACAAAATTTAAAAGTAAAAACTGCAAAGAATAAAACTACTACTACTATTATTGTTTATAATCACCACCACCATAATTTCTGTAACAAAATGTGAAACCACTTTAAAAACACTGCCGTTATTTAGGATCATTGTTCTGGTAAATGGCTTACCAACCCAACCAACCCATGAAAAAACTAGACACGGATATGAAATTAAGTTAAGGCATAAGAAAAGGTCTTACATGTGTATTCTCTGCCCGACGGTCAACCCACTGCCCATTCTTCTTTTTGTGGGTGACCATGAAGAGCTCGTCCGAATTTGGTGGTCGGCTCAACTATTTTTCCTATAAATAAAGACAACATATATATGGTTATGATGGATATCAGATATAAATATGTTGACGTGTTGAAATTACAAATAGAATACACACCAATTATATAGCAACATCATGATGAGCTCTACGTCTCGTGGTATGGACCACCCCTCCTTTGGTTGATGCTCGATTAGTCTTATTTTGTCGAGAGACCTCTTTGAATTCATCCATTTTCCACCCATCAAGAAGATACGCATAAACCTTTTCACCCATCCATTTCGGTTTTTCCCCTTTTTTCCTAATCTTACCAAATATATTAGATATTCTTTTACCACAAGCTTTATGAAACAAATCTTGTATTTTGGCGTCAGCGCACGGCTCCCATTGAACAAAATACTGCCAAAAGAGAAATATTGTTGATTAAATTGTAAAAAGATATACATTATCATCATACTATAGTAAAAAGGAAATTACATGTCTTACTTTAAACAAATCAAAGTATGCATGTTTCTCTTCTCTTCTATTCTCAGGTTTAAGCTCACTATACTGCAAGAAATTTCCTTTATAAAGTTTTATTAAAACTTTTCTAATAGCTCCAGTAACAATACTTCTTGGAGTCAACCTACAAAGCAAATATCAAGTTTACTAAACAATTAGAACAAAAGATCATGTGAACATAGTATTCTGCAAACTTATGTAACAATGTTATAGACATTTATTTGGTGAATGTATTATGTTATAATGTTATAGACTTGTTCTCATACTTGAATAAGCAGCAAAATCTAAGTGTTGCAGAGATTATCTAAGTGTTTTACACTAAACAACATCAAATTTAGATCGCAAAAAAGGATTTTTAACTCCATGCTATATGTATCAAAAAGTTTGTGTAACTAAATTTTTTACCTATTTCCCACAATTCTAATTAGAGGCCTTTTCCCATAAGCACATGCTTGTTCTGTGGCCTCCTCTTCCTCATCAGAAACAGTTTGGTCCCTCTCCTCTTCCTCCCCTGCTATCACGGTTTGGTTGAAAACTGGACCTTGCAAAACATGATGTGTCACTCAAGGGGTAGGAACAAATATGGATTCCTCAAATGTCGGTGATGTGTCAGTTGTCTGAGGTTGTGATGGTGCTTAGATTGTCTGAGGACGTGGAGGTGTTGGGGCTTTAAGAGGCGATGAAGGTGTTGCGGTTGTATGAGGCAGTGGTGGTGTTGCGGTGGTATGAGGCGGTGGTGGTGCTGCACTGGTATGAGGTGGTGAAGGAGCTTGTGTTCTTTGACGCATGCTAGAAGTGGTGCTTTTGTTCCTTGTGTCATGCTTCAAGCGAGATGTGTTTACAGCTAGAGCCCCAGGTGGCATATGTCGTGTACGGCATAACCTATCAACAACTCTTTTTAACACAATTGGAATTAGCAAGAATGCATCAAAAGATATTAAATTGTAAATAAACTAAATAGTGAATGTTTTAGTCATCTTATGGTTTCTTGCTTATTGGTGCTCTCTTCTTTGACCCTTCTCCTGTCATTTCAACTTACACCAACCACAAGCCACAGAAACCTACACGAATCTGCAGGTAAGAAATCAAAATGAATCAAAATGGGTGGAAATACAATTGTGTAAACTAAAAAGGAGAATCATCATTTCATGTAAATACCATAAACTATAAGATGCAAATCAGCCTAGTGACGCAAGCTCCAAGAAATAATGACAGTAAAGAATGGAAATCTTAATAACGACACCAAAATGAATACCCATAAGATATCATAATAAATTCTCAAACATCAAATACAAAACAAACAAATCATACAAAACAGACAAATCAAAATACAAAACAAATCAAATTCCAAAATACAAAACAAACATGCATGTTTCTCAAAATAAATTCTCAAACATCAAATACAAAACAAACAAATCATACAAAACAGACTACATGAAAAATTTCACTGATAAATCACATAATTAAAACATACATGGGATCATTTGACACTAGTACTAATACCATGGCCTATTATAAAATAAACTACATCTAATTTACATCATTGTTCTCTCCATATTGAATCATTGGATCATTTGTCACTAGTACTTGATCAACATCATCAATTAATCCTTCATCGGCTAAACCACGTATTTGAGAAAATGCATGAAGAGCAAATTAAGAAAACTTGAACTTTTGGGCTTTTGGGCTTAAGTTTGCAGGTCCAAACGTGTTCATGACATGTTTAAAGACCCCTAATTCCATTCACATATTTTTTACGATATTTATTTCTTTTATTTGGATTTTATTTATCTAAATGCAAATTAAATATAATAAAATATGAAACCATTGAATTTAGGCGCATCGACCTTTATTATGATCTGATTGGAGGCCCAAGGATGTGTCTTGAAGACCAAGAAAACGTGAATGGTTTATTGGCACAAGATTGAGAAAATATAGAAGCTTTTCATACAAATTGTCAATTAAGTCTTTTCACCATGAATGAGAAAGATATTGTGATACGGTGGGAGAGAACTGACTGTTTTTGGTTTGCTGGTTTGCGTTTTGCGTTTGTTTTCGCAAAATGTCGCGGTAAGCAAGAGTCGCCACCGTCTTTTATTTTATCCAACAAGGAAAGGAAAAAAAGCACAGAAAAATTCCTTTTTTGAGATGTTTCTCGGGTCTGGGGGGTAGATTATAGAAAGAGAAGGTGTTAGCACCCTTTCAATTCGTGGTTATCCACGGGCTCTTAGGTACTTGTTCAAAGTGTTTTCAAAATTGCTTTTCTTTGTGTTTGTGGGTTTGAAAAGAGTTTTTGTTTGAAAGGTGTAAGTACGAAAAGTTTTATTTTGTTTTAGAAAGAGCAAGTACTTAAGAACCATCTGCCTACTAGAAAAAGGAATCAATCTGTGCTAACGTCCTTTAGACAGGGCTATCCCACTATGAATGAGTAGGTAGCCTCGTCGTTGGAGTTTAAGGGTCAATTCGATTAAGGGACGTGTGGTCACTAAATCAACGTTAGGACGCCTTAGCGGTAACCCTAATGTCTTAGATCATTTTTCCGAGGCAACCGTTTCGAGGCAACTATGATCTTTGGAAAAGAGGGCGACCTCTAAAACTTCCTATACTTAATGACCACGTTTGAAGGCAACCAAGTGAGGTGTACTCTAAGAGTGCGCGTGTGCGAGTGTGTTATTTTTCAGTTAATTTGTCTTTGTACATGTCAATGGTTATCTATGTTGATTTTAAGTTAAACATTCGATCTTGTCATGCATTCCCTATTATCAAACATCTAACAGTTTATAAGTTGCGGAAATTAAATTGCGGAAATTAAAACTAACTATTACAAGGCGTCGGTGTTGTACCCCAAAATTTGCCCTCCCATATTTCTCAAAACATTTCAAGAAAAATTCACAAGTCCAACCCGGCGCATCATATTCAGGTGTTCTTTCGCCAAGATATCTCTGATAATGTATTCTCAAATTCAGGTTCGGCTCAAGAGTCAATTCTTTAAAGAAGGTATCCGAATGTGTGAGTTTTCTCGAAGAAATATGGTGAAAAAGTGTGCTGAAAGTGCAGTTTCTACGCGCTAAAAAATTCATAACTTGAAGATCGTGACTCGTTTTGAACCCGTTCCGGTGGCCAAAATTCCGTCTTGACATTATCTACGTTTTCATCTCTCACGGCTGGAAGCCAATTTCGATCAGAAGGTCTTCAAAAATGTGGATTTATCAGGTATTTTCGTGCAGAAAATTTGTGACAGAAGTTTATTTGCGTCATGTTCAAAAAATCATAACTTGGTCGATTTTCATCGTATCGAGCTGGTTCCGGCGCCAAAATTTCACAAATTGAGTTGTCTACATTTTCACAGAAGGAATTGAGTTCAAACGGTATTCAAAAGGCCTTCGTTTTTTGCTCAGAGTGCATGACACGCTGAAAATCCTGAATGCTGAATATTATTTCATCTGGGCTGAAACTTCGAAAATTCATAACTCGGTCAATTTTTATCGGATTGGACTCATATTTTTACACAAGGTCACTGACTCATAGATCTACAACTTTGCTTCAAAAGTCGAGACCAAATTATGCACCGATCAATACCAGTTTTTTATTGAAGAACGTGTCAGAGTCGACACTGAAGCCCAAAATAAGTTTGTCTGAGCTGAAACTTCAAAAATTCATAACTAATTCACCGTTTATCCGATTGAGTCGATTTTCGGACAGGAGTTAGTTCTCGATATCGGCTACATTTTGTTTTCATATTTCAACTTCAAAAAATGCACTTAAGTCCCTGCGATTTAGCCTGGAAAGTGACGAATTCAAGTGAATATTGGAGGCCCAATTGCACATTCAAAGCCCATTTGCTTTACCCTAACTTCCATTATATAATCACATTCTTTTCACACAAACAAAAAAAAAAAAAGGAAAAGAGAGAAAAAACCTTGCCACAACACTGTTGAAATATCAAAAACTTTCAAGAACCATAAAACCTTGAAATCCTTATTACAAATTTCTCTCTCACTACAAACAAGCCATCACAGTTATAAACCAATACCTCACTACTTCTTCAGTAAGGATAAGACTGGCTTGATCTCCATGATCCTAATTTTCCAGTAAGGCATAAAAGCATTCAGGTCACTAATCTTCCAGTAAGGGTAAGATTGATTTGATCTCCATGATCAAAAGGGTATAATCATTCATACGTGTCATATTGTGCCTAAACGTTAAATTTCTTCATATGTTGGTTTTATTTGAATTTTTATGATTTTATTTAATGTGTTCATGAGGTTCAACTCTGCAGATTTAGACAGGATCCCATGCAGGTTCATTAAGGAACGTTGAGGCCAAAAGCCAAATGGCCAAAAGGCCAAAAGCCAAATGGCCAAAACAGAACATTTTACACATGACATCAATACATGGCGAGGCAGACATTAAGCCAGACATTAAGGAACGTTGAAGCCAGAACACAAATGGCCAAAAGCCAAAAGCCAAATGGCCAAAGTAGAACAACTTATGCATGATGAGGCCAGAACACAAATGGCCAAACCACTCCAATTCACCTCCAAAAAGGGGACAGAAACCCCCCAAGGTATTGTATTTTCTTTCGTTTCCTTATTTTATTTATTTCAATTATTTCTTTTTTTAATTAATTCCTTTAATTTAACTTATTTTCATAAAATATAAAAAATAGTAAAAAACAGAAAAGTCATAAAAATCAAAATATATTTATTTAATTAATGTTTTTTGTAAACAAATTTCACTAATAATTAATTATTTATTTTTATAAATCAAAATTGCATGTAAATAATTAGATTAATTTTAGGTTTAATTTTAACATGTTTTTCTTAATAAATAAAAATTAGAATTAGGGTTAATATTTTAATTTCATTTAATCTTTCTCATAAAAATACATAAAAAACATAAATACCAAAAACTCAAAAAAAAAAATAATAATAATTTCTTTTTTCTCTTTAATTTCATTAGTTTAATCATTTAATTTAATTTCATTAAAAATGGTCCAACGCCCTCGCTTCCAATTTTAATTCCAATTCGCGCATTTTATTTTATTTCTTATAATATTAATGTAATTCTCTCAAAGCCTTGTAAACTCGGACATTTTATTTCTCGCACTTTACTTCTTTATTTTATGTCAAATCGGGTCCTGGATTAAATTTGGCGATGTGGACCCGCGCCTTTGTAATAGTTTAGAACTTTTAATTTCCGCATCTTTTTAACTGTTAATAAATGCATGCAAGAATGAATGATGAAATAAAAACAAACGCATAGATCACCTTGACATGAATAAGACAAAATAACTGAACATGACACACAAATCACACACCACCCCTAGGGTACGCCTCACTGTTGCCTTGCCTCGAAAGGTGATCGTCGAGTAGAGGATGTCTTAGTAAGTCCTCATGATCCGGGAACCTGGCATGAGGGTAGCTTCTAAGGTGTCTTCCTATTGCTCTGGTGATCACCATGTCCCGAACCTCGAATTGACCCGAACACCTCCAACGGTGGTGCTACCTACCTCTCAATGGTGGGATGGCACTACTTTAAAGGACATATACACAGACGAATTCCTTAGGGTAGGTAGACGACTCTAGATACTTGCTCTAATTTCAAAACAAATTCAAAAATACTTTTCACACCGACACCTTTTCAAAAAGCTTTCGAAAGTAATTTTTCAAACACTCTTGAGGACCGATACAAGAGTCGAACTGGAATTTTCAAAGAAACTTTTTTAAAACCCACAATTGAAAAGCAAACAAATCATTTTTGAAAACACAAATGAGCAAGTATCTAAGAGCCCATGGATAACCATGGATAGAAAGGGTGCTAATACCTTCCCTTTCTATAATCTACCTCCCGAACCGAGAGC